TTACAAATTCATCCTTGAAGTATCTGGCTCTGCTTTATCCAAGTTTACATGAAACTAGCTCAAGTTCATCTTGCTGGGCCTGAGATTATGTGCTTTATATTTCTGGCTTAACCCAGTGGACCTGAAACAGTTCACTTGACTTGTAACTCAGCTTCATGAGCCTTGCGTTTTTTTTCCCCCTCTCTTTACCTGGGAGCTGGCCAATCAGGAGGGTGGAGTCGGGACATTTGGCCTCAGCCTTTATATTCATTCTAGGGTTTTAGATTCACAATCTCTAAATAGAGTCAAGGAAGGCCCTGGCAGGATGGAATGAATGTATTCATTCTACAGTCTTCAATACTACAGTTTTCCTGACTGTATTTTGGCATTTTTATTTACAGAATCTAAAACTCCTAGAAGTGGTGTGGATGGTTTCAGCATGTTTCCCGGTACTCCTAGGTGACTCTGGCCTTTCTCTGAGGGTGGAGGATGAATAGGTGGAGTCTTAGGATTCCTGGTGATGTCAGTGTTTGTTTTGCTGGATCCTGGTGGGTATAGATGGGCACCGAGTTCTTGGGAATAGGCATAGTAGTAGCTGCATTTTCAGAGCATTGAGCGATGCTTGAAGGGTGTGTGATTGTCCATTGGCATCTCTTTTATAAGAGTACAAGAAGGTTGTCTGAGTGTGAGACAGAACCAATGAGTCTGATTACTTCAACAAAAATGCTAATTAGAGAGAGCAAACCACTAAATCTATGATTGCATTTCAGTAATTACATGAATGCTAATTCATGACCCTTAAGATATACATGATTAGATTTGAAAGTCATTTTTGACAGAACCATTTGCAGATCATATCATGCAAATTGGCAGAATAATTAGCATGAGTGTATGAATGCTTCCTGTGAATTAATTGGATGAGAAAAGTAAGAATTGTGGTAGACTATAAGTTTTGGTTGTGTTGAAAAAAATCTTGATAAAACCAGAACTGTGAACATTGAGGGTAGGAGGGTGTGTGTATGTGTGTGTCTGTGTCTGTCTGTCTGTCTGTCTATCTGTCTGTCTCTCTGTGTGTGTGATGGTATCAGTCTACCAAGCCTGGTATTCCATTATAGGGTGTTAAATGTGTGTTTAATGTTTGTTCTGATGCCAAGTGAAGTAGGGAATACTCTGTGTTCTTTATCCAGATCCAGGGAGTAGAGAAGAAAAAAAAAAAAAAAAAAAAGTGTTCTTTGCAGCCACTTATAAATGCTAAATGACATGGCCTTTTAATTGATAGTATAGTTCTTATGACTGAGTATGTTGAGGAGCTAGTATAAGAAATTCAGAGTATGGCCGGGTGTTGGTGGCACATGCCTTTAATCCCAGCACTTGGGAGGCAGAGGCAGCCAGATCTCTGTGAGTTCAAGGCCAGCCTGGTCTGTAGACCTAGTTCAGGATAGGCTCCAAAGCTACACAGAGAAACAAAACAAAACAAAAACAAAAACAAAACAAAACAAAAAATAAGAACTGCAGAGTATGTTTCTGAAGATACAAGCAATGTTTATAGGGACATTTTCTAGCCATGTTCATAGTTACTGAAGGAGGAAGCAGATTTCTCATGAGTCTCACATCCTCCTGTATGTTGACTTGATTGTTAAATGTTATAAATATTATTAAATGTTTTGATGGGAGATTTCGGTGTAGCAAAAAATAGCAGGCAAAATAGAATGATGATACAGACGTGCATATCATTGACATTTGACAGGACAAAACATAGGGTGTCTCAAGAGTGCTTGATAAAGGATGGATGTGTACAAATAAAAGAGGTGCCAGAAAGCACAATTCACTGTGTCCTGTGTGTGTGTGTGTGTGTGTGAGAGAGAGAGAGAGAGAAAGAGAGAGAGAGAGAGAGAGAAACAGATACAGAGAGACAGATAGACACACACAGAGAGAATATGAATGTAGGGGGGTTGTTCTGAGTACAGATGCACACAATCTGTCTTAATAGGTTTAATTAATTACTATATTTCTTAATACTGATGGGAGATTCAAGCCTGGGATTCTGGTTTGAGCTTTTTCACATTTTAGCTGGATGACCACTTTGTCTTCCTTCATCACAGTTGGCCTCCTAAGAGTGTCTTGAGAATGAGGCACTGACAGTGTTGTACTTGACAAACCAGAAAATAAATCATAGAAAAACTTCTAGAGCAATTCCTGTCCATCGTTTAATTGTCTTATGTTTTTCTTTAGGTTTGTAGTCAGTTCTAGGCAGAAACATTTGACACACTTCCACTCAGTAACTGAGGAGCGAGCAATTTATAAAAGTGTGGGCCAGATGTAGATAGGAAGGGCTGGTAAGAACCAAAAACTCAAGAGAGGAAAGCCATATGGAGGGCTACTCAGCAGTAGCTTGTGGCCTCCTGAAGGGGACATTGCACACCTGATTAGCTACTGTAGGAATGACTCTTGTGCTCTCACTGCTGTCTCTGTCTTGTCTTGGCTAAGCTGTAAGTGTAAGTCAAAAGTCAGGAAACCTGTGCCTGGGAGCTCTCAGGGTAGCACCCAGTAATATGGGCAGGAGAAAGGAGCCCTGGCTCTGTTTCTGGCTATAGGAAATCATCATCATCATCATCATCATCATCACCATCACCGTTAAATTATCATAATAAAATTATAATATGCTAATATTAGTTGTATTAAATCAATAAAATTAATGCTAATTATCATCATCATTTTTTAAGGGCTCCAGGAATATATCCAAAGAGATAAATGTTGACTGCTGTAGCCTAAAATGGCCAGTGTAGCTTGTATTTCATGCATTACTTATCTTTTATTTAAGAGGTAATTATGTAAAGATTTTTTTCAGATGACCAAGAGGAAAGGAGCCTATTTCCTGACTCTCTTTGCTACTTTTCCTTTTCATTAACTTTACAAATTAAGATCTGTTGGGGCGGAAGAGATAGCTCAATGGTGAATTAAGAATACATGCTGTCCTTTCAGGGAACCCAAGTTCAGTTTCCAGCAGCCATGTCAGGTGGTTCACAGCTGTCCATAATTTCAGGTCCACATGACCTGGCTCCCTCATCTGGCCTCCTTGGACATATATTCCTGGGTTCATGTCTACCCACAGACACAAACCAACCCCTCCAACACATCATTACAAATTAAAATCTTTGGCACCGAGTAGATAGTAGTTAGGAGCTCTTAGCTGTTGATGCTCTTACACAGATTCTGAGTTCAACTCCCAGAAAATATCTGGAGGCCTCTGGCCTTCACATGTACATAAGCATACTCACACACGTACACACTTTTCCTTTTTTTTAAATAGAAAAATCTCTGCCATTTTTGTAGTATGAATGATTGGCAGAGGTACAGTGTCCTTGGATGGGGACAGTAATAAAAGGCAAAAATCTTAAGTTTTTTTTTCTTGCATCTTTTTAATTGCTTAAGAAAGTAGCAGTACTAGTTTCTATAAATTGTTGATTAACAATTACTAATTTGTGGCTGCATTTTTATTGGAATTAAATATTTTCAGGTATTTGCTACTTGTAGTGGGCATTATAGAATATTCTTTATAGTTTTTGAATTAACACCACTAAAATATGAATTAGCTTTCACATTTCAGTGTTATATTTATATTTCAAGCTGTTCTGTATCACCCCATTAAAAGTCATTGGGCAGGCTGGAGAGATGGCTCAGTGTATAAAGCCCGATCTACACAAGTGTGAGGACTGGAGCTTAGATCACTAACCCTTGTAATGTGAGCTTGTAATTCCAAGGCTCAAAGGTGAGAAGGGATCCTTAGAATAGGCTGACTAGCTATATTAGTGAAATCTGTGAGCTCTGGGTTCAATTGCAAGAACCTGCCGCAGTGTATGTGGAGGAGAGTGGTCAGACAATTCCTGACACTCACCTTGGGCCTCAACATGCACATGTTTGTGCATGGTACCACATATATGAAATAAATAAGTAAGCAAACCACCTAGAGTAGAACACTGGGTCCAGAAGCACCTTCCACTGTAACGTCTGAGGATTTTGTATGTCTGACAGTTATTTAAGACACTTCGGTAAAAACTTAAGTATTTATTTGAATTTTCACGATTGTTTATGAAGACAGTAATAAAGTCTGTGAACACCAGAAAAGCAGAATGGAATGAGGGCGGGTTTGCAGTTTTTGTTCTCTTAGTCCCCTCCATCCTCCCTCCTTCCCTCCTTGCCTCTCCTCCCCCTCCCTCCCCCTCCATCCCTCCCCCTCTTCCTCTTCCTTCTCTTCCTGTTCCTAGCAGACTTGCTGGGAGGAAGGCTGTCACTTCTCATTCTGTTCTTTCATATTTAAATATCCAGTGTGTGTGTGTGTGTGTGTGTGTGTGTGTGTGTGTGTGTGTGTGTGTGTGTGTTTAAATGTACTTTACATTGTTGGGGAGTGGAAAAGGACAGGACAAAAGGCACTTGTGTTCAGAAATGTGACACTTTTAGATTTAAAAATGCATATTGAAGATAGTAAAGAGAAGAAAAACATCTACTAACAATAATTTGTTGTTCCTCATGAGTGACAGGCCCTGGGAATAAACACTGTGGATACTGTTGTCCAGAGTATCACACGTGTTCTGGTCTACAAGGAATCTGTTGTCTATTTTGCCACAGTTCCAGACTGGAGAAAAACATCTTAGGTTTTAAGTCTTCTCTTGTTTATTTCTGAAATGTATCAGTATAATGCTATTGCCATTTCCAGAGTGCCTGATGCATTTCAGATATGCCCAGGGAGAGGGATTTGTCAAGTTTCAGTTCTTTTCCTGTGATGAAGTTGCACTTATTTCTCAGAGTTGTTGGGTTACAAGTGGTGTTTGGTAGATTTATGCTCAGGTGTTTCCTAAGATGTGAATAGTTTGAGCTCATTTGCCTTTGAAATGGACAAGTGTCCTCTGTAGGTGGTATTTAGATTTTGTATGGCTGCTTCTCTCAGCAGGTCTTTTCGGGTCTGTGAAATCTAGGCAGTTGTGTAGTTGTGATCTAATGTGCTGCTACCATTTTCATTCCAGGGACAGGAGAGAGCGGCAAGAGTACCTTCATCAAGCAGATGAGGATCATCCATGGGTCCGGATACTCTGATGAAGACAAGAGGGGCTTCACCAAACTGGTGTATCAGAATATCTTCACAGCCATGCAGGCCATGATCAGAGCTATGGACACTCTCAAGATCCCGTACAAGTATGAACACAATAAGGTATGTGAACTCATTGGGACATTTGGCAGAGGGGTTCATGAATGGTGTCTTAGCACTTCTAGAATGCACAGTCGGTGTTAGAAATGCACTCATTCCCCTCTCCTTCCTTCCTGTGCTGTGCCCCCCCCCCCCCCCATCTCCTCTCCTTTCCTATGGTCCTCTCCCCCTATGCCTCCCCTCTGTATGCATGGATGCCTAAGTGCTTCCTTATGGAAGCCAGAGGTCCATGTTTGAGTGTCTTTCTCTATCCACCTTATTGGTTTGTATATGCTATAAAGCAAAAGATAACCCAACCAACTATCTGGCCTGTTTGATAGTAGGAAATTGTTCACAGTTGCAAAATTGGTTCTAGCTTTCGGAATGCCACACTATTGGAATTTCTTTTGATATTGACTAAGTGTTACTTCATTGAATGGGAAGTTTTTTCTGGCTATGGAAGAAGCTGTGGACCAGATGGTATAGCACTGCGTATCTTTTTATAAGCTTTACTCTATTCTAAGGATTCCAAACTCAGGAAGCAGCTTGTAATAAATTGCAGTAAGTTGCACACTTCTACCAGACCAAGATTAGTTTTTCCTTGAGTATAGGTATCTTGTCTTTGGGAGTTCTGTCCTAAACAAGCTTGTTTTTATATTGGTGAGCTGCTTCTAACCTCCTTAAGTTGAATGAACACATGTTTTAGGATTTCATTTGAAAACATACTGATCTAGAGTTGTTTATTTATAAATACCAACTTGTCCTTTCTCTGAATACAAGTGTTCATAGCTAATGATAAAGGACTTATGCAAAGTGTTCAACCCTGAGATTACTTCATTATTTAATGCTTTCTAAAAGAGTGGATTTCCATGATCTTACACAGGTACGCTCTTTTGATTACATTCTCTGTCTTGCTCTAGAATTTGGTTGTTAATAAAAAGGAAGCAGCCCACTGCTTCTGAGTTAACATGGCTATGGAATTACAGCTTGGAGAAGAAGGTCTGGATTTGACAATTGGTGGTATTCTTGTGTTACTATTGTAGTCGTTTTATATGTTCATACATTATCTCCTCAGTCAGATTGCAGGGTACCTTGCAGGAAGCAAGCATGCTCTTTGGTAATATTTTCCCCCTACAATATGTCAGAAACAAAGCTGAGGCTTTTGCTCATTAAGTAGAGCACTCCAGGCACGGATCCTGATATCCCATTGCAGCTGATTTGTGATTTCTTTGAACTGTCAAGTCAGGGTATCAGACAGTGTAAAAGTATTTATAATCTGTCTCATTGCCAGTCTCTGCAAGAGAAAAGTACCCAATTTGGTATGTTTACATGAAATGACATTTAAGGACTCACCTTGTGCTACAATTCCATCTTTCCTTTTGTTCTATATTTTAAGTATCCCTGATTTGAAAAATCTAAGATCTCAAATGTTATGGTGCCTTTCTGGAGGGCAAAGGATAGATAGCTTGCAGGGACTAGTCTCTTTCCCTAACAAGTGAGTCCTAAGGGTTTGCCAGTTTGCCAGTAAAAATGACAAGTGCCTTTACTTGCTGAGTCTTCTTGCTGGCCCCTTATGTAAATTCAGTAAAATTACTTAAACGAACAAACAAATAAACAAAAACAAAACCCCAAAACCATGTAAAATTTCCACCATGCTATGTACATACCATGAAAAGGAAATGACTTTGTTAAATTTAAGTTTCATCTGACAGATACTTGTGTATATACATATGTTACCAAGTCAAAACACCTGAATTCTAAAATGTTTCTGGTGTAAGCATTTCTGACAAGGGAGTCTCAGCCTTAAATAGTTTCTAAGTTTAGTCTTACATAGTCTTCTAAGTTCTGATGACCAGGCTCATTTGATAATTTGTCTACTTATAGTTCCCTTTGCCTGAGTATCTGAGGACTTTGTTATTTTGACATCTGTCTTTCCTTTTCACTTGGAATGGAGGGGTACTAAGATGACCAGAACTATGGTGTCTGAGAATAAGGAAGGACATGTCCCAGGAAGATAGCTTAGTAGGGGTGAGTGTGTGCGTGTGTGGAGCAGTGATTCAGTCAGTGAAACACTTGTCTTGTGCCTAAGAATAAGGAAAACATGTTCCAGGAAGGTAGCTCCATAGTGTTCAGGGGATGATTCAGTCACTAAAGCTCTTGCCTTGCAATCATGAGGATCTGAGTCCATGCCTCAGACTCCAGGTGAAAAATGTCGAGTCATGGTTACACAGCCATGCAATCCCAGCATTGGAGAGGCAAAGTCAGGAGGGTCTTTAAGGCTCATTAGCCAGCCAGCTATCTTAATTGGCAAGCTTCTGCTTAATGAGAGGCCCTGAGAATGATAGCAAGGTTGTCCTATGACCTTCATACTCTTGCATATGTGCATGCATGAAGCATTTATCTAATTATTTTTTTATTTAATAAAAACTGAGGAGTCAGACATGGGTAAAAACCTGATTGATCAGAGAAGCGGCAGTGGAGAAGCAACCAGTGACCTCTCATCTCTCTCCTTTCGGATCCAAAAGGGCCTTCAGATCTTTCTAAGCCCCTCTCTACTACTTTCTGTGTTTCTCTATGTGTATTCTGGGTCTTCCAAAACCTCTATGGCTAATTCTGATTAGCCAGTTTCTAACTCCAACCCCTGATTCAAGGTTAAACTTTATTGGCAGTCTTCCACAACCCATGCATACATACTCCTAGTCATACACATTTATTAAAAATGGAGAGTGCCACATTGAACCTATTTAAATTATTCTGAAACTTTTGCATTTACTCAAAAATCCTCAAGATCCTCAAAGGTATTTTCCAAGAAAAATTGGCCAAAATTCTGAAGGCTGTATCACTGTATCCCTGCCTTCGATCAACTGAATAAGAAAATGCTACTTTAAAAAATTACAAACAAATAAAACCAAAACCAACAACACAAGGGCATTTTCTTAGTTCACAGAATCATCATGGGCTGATTGCAATGTAGGGATTTCTACCTATATAAATAGAGCTATTAGTTCTACCTATAAACCGAACTAACAGATGTATGTTTTAATCTGTTTTTCTGAAAAGTCAGATGAGCCAAAGAATTGCAGGCTGCAGAAACAGCAGTAGGAAGAAAACTTCTGAGGGTGTGAGCTCATAGCAGGCCTGAGAAGCTGAATGGCTGGGCTTGGGGGAGGTGAACACCAGCCAATCAGTCTTTCATCACTCACTCCAGATTCCTGGGAAAACCGTTAGATTGGCCTCCCTTGAATTCTTTGCTAGGTCTTCAGACAGAGAAAGGAAGTCTGGTCAGTGTGATTGACAGTCCTGGGGGACATCTAGTGGGGTACTGCTAGTGGAAGAAGGAGAATGATTCTGGCTCAGCTCACAAATCTCTATTGCAAAAGTGCACAGTCAATTTGTAACACAAAATTACATGTGAAGTCTTTGTAGATGCAAGCCCTCTGAGTTTACTTAGCATTTTCCCTAAGATAAAATTTCTTATTCTGAATTTAATTCTGTGTTACAATATAGGGAAGGGATCAGAGAGGCTGGTGACTCAGTAACAGTTGTATACTGTGATAAGTATATACCATCATTTGACTCCAAGCATGGAAAAGTTAAGCAATCTTGAGATTTTCATAGTTGAGAAGATATGTCAGTTTCTTGATAGTTGGGCCTAAATTTTCTTATATGTGAAAGTGGCATTGAAAAGATAAATAAAAAGAAAGGCGATAATAGGTATCCTTCAGCAGGCTTTGCCAAGATATGCCACTAATAAGCAAACATACCACACACAACACAGTTATTAGAGGCTTATTTGGGGAGTGGGAGAGTGGAAGAGTGAAAGGCCAGGTCAGAGTGGGGACATGAGAGAGGCAGACAGACAAGAGGAAGAAGAGAGGAACAGAGACAAGGAGAGGAATAAGAGGCAAGAGGCCCAAGAGACAGAAGTGCCTGGTGGGCACTTTTAAAGGGTGCACATGTCACATAGCCGACAGTGGAAAGACATTTGGCTACAGGTGATGCTTTGGCAGCAGAGGTAGGCTGCTGTTGCAGTGGCAAAAACTAATAGGGACAGGTAATGATAAGATGGTTTTAAAGTTCAAAAGATAGTGCGTGTGAAAACTTTTTAAAAATTTGGCAGTGAGTGTCAAGGCAATCTACAGTAAATTGTCATGGAGAGAATGATTCTGCTAACCTTCCATCTTTATGTCTTAGCTAGTATGATTGAGTGTAGGAGGTGTCTGTGGGAGCTACCCTCCGAGTGACGGCCATTGTGGTGGGATGCCAAGGGAGGCACAGCACTACTTATCCGAAAGTGCTAAAAGAGAATAGGCTTTTGAAAACTGAAATTCTCTAAAGCAGTTTCTCTTAGGTTAAAGCAAGTGATGGACTAGACAACCTAAAATCCCTTCTAGCACTTGCCCTCATGCTGATCTCACTGTCTTAAGACTGACAGGCAGGCTGTGGTTAGAACTCTCATGGCAGTGGGAAGCTCCTACTTTTCTTGAACTTTGCCCATTCTTGGAAAAAAATAGAAAAAAAAAAAAAAAAGACAAAACTAATAGATTTTGTTTAGAAAATATCTCTAGTTCCTTAGTATTTTCTCCTATCTAAGTCTCATAAATAACTAAAGTAAATAAATAAAAAATGTTATTTACATTCATGCAGGGGATTTTAGTGTTCAAAGTTCAGAATAAGACAGAAATTTTGGGTGTTGTTGGTATCTTACTAATGAAAGTCTTTGAGAATTTTATGGTTTCTTTAAAACAGAAAAATAATAAAAGAATTGATGAACTTTTCATGACCAATTTGTTCAGTCAGTTTCTTTTTTTCTGAGTTCATTGACCAGTCTTTCCCAAATCTCCAGGACTCTCTAGCGGAGTTGAATTGATACTGAGTCTCTAGTGACTGTATCAGTTACTCTATTTTATTTGTATGTGTAGATTTGTATGTCTCTGTGAGTATAGGTGTTCCTGTGTGTGCACACATGCACTTGAGTGCATGAGCACCTGCCCTTGTATTTGCAGAGGCCACACACACACACA